GGGGGGGGGGGGGGGGGGGGGGGGGGGGGGGGGGGGGGGGGCAGCTGCCCACCTGCCTCCCACCAGGAGCTGCTGCCACACCTGGGGCTCCATCCTGACCTTCCAGGTGTGAGAGCATTGCTGCACCCCCCACCCCCACACCACGGCTCACCCCAAACCCCTCTAGTGGCCCAGTTAGGAAACCCTGTGGGAAAGGGAGATGGGGTGGCGGCGGGCGGTCATTGAGGCCAGCCAAGTTGGCACGCACAAAACCACCACAGTACCGGGAACTGGCATCACCGTCAGACGTCCCGGTCACTGGGCAGGCGGCCGAAAGGGGCAGCTACGACGGCCACTGAAGAGCTTTACGCGGGTTCTAGGATTAGGTCCGCCTTGTGAAAGGTCACTCTCGGCTTCTGCTAGCGCGGTGGCTCGCCAGGTCGTGAGGACCAGCGCTTCCACTCACAAGGGACTGAAGAGTTCCTGAACGGGGGACTCTTCCCGAAGAGCTCCTTTCCGTGCAGGAGCTGAGAGCTCAGCCGCTGAGCAAAGCCCCCGACGGACCAAAGACGAAGGGAGGAGTCGTTCTTCTGAGATCGCTACAGAGAGGGAGGGTCTAGTCAGCACCAAGACGTTGGGCTGGGAAGAGGGAACCTGAAAAACACCAGGTCCCAGGGAGCCGGACCGCATTAGGGAGACCTGGGGTGCTCGGTGTGTCTGGTTCCTTGCCAGGAGCAGACGTCCGTCCTTTCGAGAGGGAAGAAAACACCTTCCTCGGTCTCGAGTCATCTGCGTGTAACGTGCGTCATACAGAAGGCAACACGTGCACAGGATCAGATCCCAGGAAGAACAAGGGACGACAGAAGCCGGCCTGCGGGCAGGCCAGATAACGAGGTTGGCGAGCGTGCACCTTTGAAATAAAAATGGAGCCGGCGGGGCCCAGGTCCATCCTCCTCAAGTGTTGCTGTCGAAGGCGATCTTCCTTCTCACCTTCCTGCCGTCGCCGTGGGCGCCTTGTCCTGGCTCCGAGGCCAGCTGGTGCTGCGGACTGTCGTGCCCCACTTCCTGTGGGCAATTGTAGACTCTTCAGTCCTCGGGGACAACATTCACAGCCACTCGCCCCTTTCTGGGCCCGGACCCCACAGGCCCGACGTCTCCATCACGCACCCTATCTTGCATCTCCCTTCCACCTTTGGTGTAGGGAAACGTTGCAGTTCTTAATAGTTTTCTTTTAAAAATGGTCTGTTGTGGCTGTGGGTGGAGGGACTCGGGGAAGGAGCTCCGAGTGTGAACAATGGTGCCTTCTTATCTGGAGGACGTAGTGTTTTTCGGACAAAGGACATAGGAGAATTTTGCTGTTTCATTTCTTCCCATTTAGTTCCTTGGTACGAAACTGCTGTGATTGCTGATAGGTTCCCATTGACTGACCTGCTTCCTCATCAAAAGAAGAGCAAAAAATTGGTCTTTTTAAAAACTTGAGATCTGCTCTGCAGAAAGTCAGAAACGAAACTGGCGTTTCTAGGTGCGCCTCACAGGTGCCACAGCGGCTGGAGTGACTCGGCAGATGACCTCCAGGGCCCCCTCCCGCCGCTGTCTCCGTCTCCGCTCTGCCTGCTGCACCGTCATTCTGAAATACAGCGGGCGAGACTCATCCTTCTTCCTTGGAAAGAAGTAGGGTGGCAAAGGGAAGGTGACCTTGGTTTTCGGGTGCTGCCCGCCCCCTGAGAGCGCACGCGGTGCAGGCCGCGGGATTGTCACAGGAAGGCAAGAGGACTGTGGTGGAAAGGCTGGTTCTCTGGCACCTCAGGAGGGACGTGAGACGACCCCCTGGTGAGCGTTCCAGGTCAGCCTGGGTGGTAAGCTCGACCTTGAGATTTGGGTACAACAAGCTGTCTAGCTCCATAAAGCGGCTGTGCCAGCCCCATGCCTGGGGGTACCCGTCACCTTCCTTGGACCCCTGTGAGTTCAGGCTGTCGGGCTGGGGGGGGGAAAGCGGCAGGGAGAGGGGGCTGGCTCCGCATGGCCTCTGGCATCCTGCATCAACCCACCCTTGAAATCCAGGCATCTGCAAGGTCCTCAAAGATCCCGCTCGGGGCGCCTGGGGGGCTCAGTGGGTTAAGCCTCTGCCTTCGGCTTAGGTCATGATCTCAGGATCCTGGGATCCAGCCCCAAATCGGGCTCTCTGCTCAGCAGGGAGCCTGCTTTCCCCTCTCTCTGCCTGCCTCTCTGCCTACTTGTGATCTCTGTCTCTCTCTCTGTCAAATGAATGGATAAAATCTTAAAAAAAAAAAAAAAAAAAAGATCCCGCTCACCCAAAGCCCTGGACAGAGCAGCAGGACTTTCTGTGTGGTTGGGGACAAGAGTTCAAAACCCGGCAAAGCAGCCACTCTCCACCCCCAACCTGCTGTGGCACGGGGGGCAGTCCTGCCCTTCACATCACCGCCCCCAACACACACAGACAGAGAGGGTCCCTGCCCCTCGCCACCTTCCCAGGTCCCAGCCCTCTCTTCTTCCCTATTCCTCTCTGGGGATGAAGCTGCCTTCTCCAGACACACTAGGCTTTGAGTCGCTTTCTTGTCCCCTGGTGACGTCCTTCACTCCCTGCGAGCCCCTCAGTGTGTGAAAATGTGGGTCTGTGGGACCTTGATGTTCTGTGGTTTGGGGCCCCCTTGGAGCATCCGCATGGAGGCCAGGCCCAGCAGTGTGGGAGCCCGGTCAGATCTGAGCAAACACAGGTGTGTTCCTGTGTTTTCCATCAGCGTGTTGTTCCCCTCCAGGTGCATGGTGTGCGGTCCCATTTCAGGGGTTTTGGTGAGCAGGGACAGCAGCAGCAGAACAGATGACGCGGTCCTGATGGAGGGGATGCCACGGGTGCAGAAGGGAAGCTTTGCTGTCGGCATTGGGCTGAAGGCTGTCGTCTGCACAGACTGCACTGTGATGTGAGTACTCCTGGGTCCGCGTCTGCCGGGCTCTCAGCACTTGGCTGTTCATACCCAAGACGGGGAACGGGTGGTCTTAACCCTATTTCCTGCTGC